TGGATGTGATCCCATTTCGAGACACCAGCAACCAGCCTGGCCGCCGCGTTCTGCACTAGCTGCAGCCTCCGAATCAGCGACAAAGGTAGCCCCATGTAGAGAGCATTGCAGTAGTCTAGCCTCGAGGTGACCGTCGCGTGGATCACTGTGGCTAGGTCTTCGCGGCTGAGAAAGGGAACCAACTGCCGCACCAGCCGAAGATGGTAAAAGGCCGCTTTGGCAGTGGCTGCAACCTGGGCCTCCATCGATAAGGTGGAGTCCAGGAGCACTCCCAGACTCCTGACAAGCTGGCACCAACGGCGCCCCATCGAAGGCCGGGAGTGGGAGCCCCAGTCCCATCCCGTTTCGACCCAGACACAGGACCTCCGTCTTCGCCGGGTTCAGCTTCAACCGGCTCAGCCTGAGCCATCCAGACACGGCCTGCAACGCCTGGTGCAGATCTTCTAGAGCGGAATCTGACTGGCCACCCAACATCAGATAGAGCTGGGTGTCATCGGCATATTGATGACACCCAAGCCCATACCTCCGGACTATCTGGGCGAGGGGGCACATATAGATATTAAATAGCATCGGGGAAAGAACCACCCCCTGAGGCACACCGCATTCGAGCGGGTACCTCCGGGACCGCTGCTCCCCTAATTCCACCCTCTGTCCCCGACCTTGGAGAAAAGAGACAAGCCATTGAAGAGCGAGCCCCTGAATCCCCACGTCGGCAAGGCGGCGGGCCAGCAACTGATGGTCGACCGTATCGAATGCGGCCGACAGATCGAGTAACAACAGTGCTGCCACGCCGCCCCGATCCAGATGTCTATGGAGGTCGGGCAACCAGTACAATCTCCGTTCCATGCCCAGGTCGGAAGCCGGACTGGAATGGGTCGATGATGGAAGTGTCATCTAGGAAACCCTGCAGCTGTGACGCCACCACCCTCTCAATCAATTTGCCCAAATAGGGCAAATTGGACACCGGTCGATAGCTGGCCAATTCGGCCGGGTCCAGCGTTGGCTTTTTTAAGAGAGGGCGGACCATCGCTTCCTTCAGTGCCTCTATTACCTTGATGAGCGTGAGAGAGAAAGGGAAGTAGAGGTCAAGTGAGCAAGCCCCAGGACGCTTTGACACTTGTTTTTGTTGTGGAAAAATGAGGGTGCTGTCATATCTGAACCTAGCCAAAAGTTTGTGGAATCTGTATCTGCAGGCATCTCTTGTGCCACGTTTGATCTGTCTGGAATGAAATCCACTGAATCCAGATTAGAATTGCTTTGTAGCATAGGTACTGTGAAAGAACAGGAGTAGATAACTATTCTTTTAACACTCTTAAGTCATTCCAAAGTGCTGTTTATGGGTTGTTAAATGGAAGAGCAGGTAACTCAATTGAATTAAGCGGTTTGGAGTGTTCACTTCATAAATCATACAACCCATAAAGGTGTCTGATTACAATTAATCTCCTAGAATAATCCACTCTTTATCCCATGCTGTTTTGCACAGGATCTCCCACAGCTCTTCATTTCAGTGTTGGGAGCCTTGTGATGCAGGAAGCAGGACTCACTGTGCAGGGGAAGGGGGCGGTAGTGGTGTCAGGATACGGTTGTGGTTCCTTGATGCCAGGAAAACAACCTGTCGCTCACTGGCCAGAGAACACTTGTTCAAAAACAGTAAGACTAGCCTAGCCGTGTCATTTGCCTTGAGATTGGAAGGAATTAATAACCGTGTAACCTGATGACTGTTCCATGACTCCTGCTGAATTCAGCAACCTTAGTTGCCTCAGTTCCATTACTGTAAGCTCTCTGTTTATATTTAAGCTGTGTAGTTCATGCTCAGCCAAAGTACCCAGGGATAAACAGAGGCCAGGTAGAGTTTACTTAGGCTGAGCTGCATCTTGAAGCTGAAATGCAAAAAAGCATCCCGGTGCTTCAGATGCTTGTAGTTTGTAATGGTATGAAATGTTGAAAGCAAAATATAGTTCAGTGTATGGGATGTATTTGCTAAAAGGCTGTTGCTTGAAGAATCTCATGCTGCAATGAACTACTCTCCTATCAAAATGTAGAATGTTTAGGATGATGCCAGGTTATATAAAATCTGTGGGATGTGTTTGATCTGCGGTGACAGTGTAAAGACGTATAAATCACCTCTTGATACTGGCATTAGTTGAATATGTATGTGTGAACTCACCCAAATCTCCTTGAATGCATCCTGAAAATAATTTGGTTTCCCCCACCTAATGATAGATACCCTGCAGTTAGCAGGAAAGCACCTTCCGACATGTCTCCATAAAGATCTTTTTATGCTGTGGTCAAATCTTTGTGACTTTACCATGCTCTTTTCATCTGAAACAAGCTCTCATGTTGCAGAGTTATTACCGCATTAACAGCAAAGTTATACTGTCCTAAGTCCTAATCACTTGAATGTCTTTTTTTCCCTGAGGTGGCAGGATTACCGTTTTTATGCAAGTGCACTTTCACCTATGCTCCTTGACATGGGAAGATAACGCGATGATAAAATAATAAAAAGTGTTGATTGCTTCTAATCAGAGAAAATATCCTTTTTAAAAAATTGAACAAGCCAGTTATATTATCTTTAGTGGCTGGCCCACTAACACTACAATTCTCTTTTATGATGAGGTACAACAGATTTATAAAGTTATGTAGTCATACCATCTTGCATCCCAAAATACTTGCACAGTTTCAGAAAACTATTTGTATGCCATCAGAATTACAATCTAGTTAAACAATATTGCCAGCCAAACTATTATGGCTGGCAGACTAGCTGTCTTCTTACAGATACACACCAACAGCTAGGACACACACACACTAAGGACATGTAGCCTTCTATGTAGATAGTGTTTGGAACACTTTACAGACAGAAACACAACATGGATGTTTTAAAATGGAAAACAGTTAGAGGGAAAGAAAAAATATGCAAAGCAGGTAAACCAGCACAGGATTCTCATTTGGCATATAGAATAGCCTTCTTTATGAGGTGAGTCAGGACAAAAATGAACAGAACATAGAGAGTTTAATTCTGAGGAAGCTGAAGAAATGTCAGAATTTGTTATCCCAGATAGCTTTGTGAGTCACTACAGGTTTGTGAGTGATTTGCTAGGCTATCAGTGCAAAAGTTAGAAATGACACAATAGGCTTTTCCAGTTTTAACTCAAGCAAGCAGGGAAGGCTAACATGACAAAAAATAAGTAGAATCACAGAATCACAGAGTTGGAAGGGGCCATACAGGCCACCTAGTCCGACCCCCTGCTCAGTGCAGGATCAGCCTAGAGCAGCCCCGACAAGTGTTTGTCCAGCTGCTGCTTTAAGACTGCCAGTGAGGCCGTGTCTGGTGTCTGTACATCTGGTGACTGCCTGAATCTCACATCAAAATAAATATTGTTAGTCTTCAAGGTGTCACTGGACTTTGGTTATATTTTGCTGCAACACACTAACTCAGATCCCCCCTTTGCAATCTGTTGGCATCCCACCCACTGTAGTTCCCATCTGACCCAGTCAAGTGACTCAGTTGCTACCATGTTTCTTAACTTGCCCCGTGGCAGTTTTTTAAAACTCCATTGTAAGTTCCCACTGTGGTAAAGAAAGGAGTAGGGTACCATTGGGAGCTGCAAGAAATGTTGTGCGAGGGAGAGGGGGAGTGGTGTCTAAACACTTAGCTGTCTGATTGCCTTAGCAGGGTAAGACGGTGTATTTTCCAAGTGAACAGCTGGCACATTCAGAGGGATTCTAAGGCAAGAAGGGATTCCCTTGTTGTGTTGGTGCTGTCAGTTCACAAGTGTCTTATGACAGCCTGTTACGGGTTTGAAGGCAAGAGATATTCAGAGGTGGTTTGTCGTTGCCTGCCTCTGCCTACCAACCTTGTTCTTCCTTGGTGGTCTCTAGTGATGTGAAGGCCTGGAAAAAACCTGGAAAAATTCGGGAAAAAACCGTTTTTTCCCCTTTTTTCCCTGAAGCTTTTTTGTTTTTTTCTGAAAAATTGAAAAAAGAAAAGAAATGATTATGGAACGTTTTATTTTAACATGATGAATAAAATATTTTAAGACAAGGTGTTCAAATATTTTCCAAATCATTTCTAAAATATATATATATGGTATCAGATTGATCTAATTTCTGTGCACTGAGGACAAGCAAGTCCTAGGTTACAAACTGAACTCTCCAATGGAAGAACAAGATGCATTTCTTCCTTTAGGAGGTGCGATTGTCAGAAGAAAATAAAAAAGTTTCAATTTTGTTTTTGCATGTGGGTGGGTATTCTGTTTGTAATAATTGTTTGGATACACTATATTTTTAATATGCTAGTTGTGATAATTTCATGCCAAGTAAAAATGTCCATAGTCATATTTTATGTTCCTAAAGTAACAGAATGACTTTCAATCTAGAAAAGACAAAAGAAATGCTAATGTAGCATTTTTTTCAATTTTTCAGAAAATTTCCGTTTCCCCCCGAAAAAACCTGGGTTTTTTCCCGAGCTTCAAAATTTCCGGAAATTTTACATCTCTAGTGGTCTTCCATCCAAGTACTAACTAGGTCCAATTCTGCTTAGCTTCCGAGATCAGGCTAGCTTCAGCCATCCATGTCAGGGCATGGCGTTGTATTCCTGTAGGGAATGTTGATCCGCTAACAGCAGGATTAAAGTGGTACATGTGTTGTTGCAGCTCTGAATTCCGTGTAGATCCAGACTGATCTCAGACTTGCAACAGCTATCAAACCTCGGAAATTCATTACTTGAATTAATGTGGCTTCTTGGCTTGGGATAAGTACTCTGAATAAACAACTTCAAGGTCTTAGATTCTCTCCTTGGCTACAGGCGAAGTACTCGCAGGCTTCAAAGTGGTGCATACTGGTTGTTCTGCCAGCACAGTGTCAACAGTCCTGATGTTAGGCTAGTGAAAGGGGCAGTTAAAACAAGCCTGTGCTTTGAACTGTTATGGCAAAAATGATAGGCCCTGTGTGAGTTAATCCAATTCAATAATACAAAATTTCTTAGCTTCAGGTGGCTTATTTCCTATTCATTAAAATTAAAAGTTTTACGTGTGCGCAATACTCTTTCCAAACTGCTAATTTCATTAAGACTTTTTATTTAGAATGTTATTTTTGTTTTTTAAAGTTCATCCCAGAAGCCTGGCATTGAAGTACAGCAAACTGTGTGTAAATATTTACCTGCAGCACAAGCTGATCTCTCTTTTGCAGGCAGTTGCCAGTGCGCATCCCTTGACATAAATAGGACCATAGATAACTTTTGTTCAGGCAGAGAACTTGATATCTCTCCCCCCCCCCCATTACCAGACAACGGCTGCTTGGGAATTGGACAAACAACACCTTGTTTTTGGAGCAGAATTGACTTGACCAGGTTAGAATCTTCCAAACCACTGGATTTTAGGCCAGAAATCTATTTAGAAGTTTGTCTTCTGTTTATAACCCACCTGCCCTATCTTACCCAGTGACTTGGGAGTCCTGCCTCCTTGAGTCCATGTGGCCCCGTAACATTGCTCACAGGCAATTTAGGGATCCACAGAGAATGCAGTGGTGACCTATTGGTGAACCCCGGCCCGTCATATGGGGATTGCTGAGTGTATATGCATATAGATAGTTGGTTTTATTTATTTTGAGTATTTCTATACTGCCTCTTCACAGTCCTGCTTGAAGTGGCTTACTATTAAAAACCAGGGTATAAAACACAAGCCATTAAACAGCAACAACACATCTGTAATTACAAAATCTAGGCACAGATTTTTGCAAAAAGAACTCAAAGGTCTTTCCAGGTAATTTAAGTAAGCTCTCTTTTTTTGTGTGCAAAGTAGCCTGAACATTGCTCCAGTAGTGCAGCTTCTTCATTTATAGTGTTATCTTTAAAAAGTCTGCTTGGAGTTCTGCTTAGGTCTGCTCAGTGGAGCTTACTCCCAGAACAGTGTTTTAGGATTGGACTGTTAGTTATCTACCATGACTAAAAAAAATCCATTTATTTTATCTGTATTTTTAAATTGTCTGCTATAAGGTTTTTGTCTTGGTTAAACAGTTTAAGAAAAGAGTCAAATAGTGGATAATTATTCTTAGGACACTACAGTTTTTAGTTCTTTTTAAAGGGAGGCACAAGTAGCTGAAATCTTTACCTTATCTGTCACTTGCGTGTTGGAGTGGAGAGGGAGGTGGGTTAGTGAGGGTGAAGATTTCACAGTCCTTGGCACACAGAACTGCCAAATAAATCTTGTGGAAGCAAGATTGCATTTAAGCTGGTTTATGGTAGACTGAGTATTGTTGCTTTGCATAGTTTACATTTTTAAAAGGGAGGTTTTTTAAAATTCATCCTGAGACTTGAAATTGGGTAAGGCAAACATCCACATGTATGTTCTCTTTGTTCCAGGTACTTGTGAATACTGCCTGCTGTATTCTGATGCTGATTGCGAAACTAATTCAGTGCGTGGTGTTCGGTCCTCTCCGTGTTAGTGAGAGACAGGTAAGGAAAACCCTTTGTATTTTGCTGGTGGGTTGCCGTATCAAATAGCTTTGTGTATGATGATTGTAGTTTGGCTGGTGGGTGTTAACTTCAAAATATATGTGGATCTTGTTCCATTGTCAGAGTCAGAAGTTTGATAATGGCAAAGGATATTTGTTTGCTTCATATCCTTTTTCTACATTGTTAGTATGTATGTTACTAGCTGTTCAGATTTCCCACTTTGAAATAAAGCAGATTCCGTGATGAACATAAATACCTATACATTATGGGGGATGCATGGCTGGTGCCAACCTGCACCTCTTTGGCAGTTTCTAGTAAAAGTGATGTAGCACCACTGCATTCATAATTTCCATGCTCCGTGTGAGCATTGGCCACAAGGAAGCAAGGAAACACGATGAAATGAAGCAAGCACATTTTTTCTAACTACATATTATCTGGGATTTTAATGGAGAGAGAGATTATTGGTTGCAGCTCACATACCCCTGTTAACATCTAGTTAGGCTCTCGGTTCATTTAGGTCTATGGTGAGGGTACCCTTATCTGTCTAATACATTTTTATCTCACTATTCTTCTGAGGTCTTCAGGATGATGTATATGGTTTCCCCCATTTTGTAATCACAAGCAATGTGTGAAATAGAAGTGAGACTGTAAGTGACTGGCCCAAGGTCACTCAGTATGCTTCATGACAGAATTATTTTTTAAATTAACTTTATTTATAGTCTGCCTTTCTCATTGAGTTTCATGGTAGATTACAGCCAATCAGACAGCCTAAGACAAGCAGTGAAAAATGGAATAGGACTAGAATGACAGAATTAGGGGACAACGTGAACAACAAACTCTCTAAAGCAGGTCAACTACACCTGAAACAGAAAGTGGACAATGCAATAAAAGCAGGTGATACCTGTAATAAGTGGGGATTTGAACCCTGGTCTTCCACAGTACAGCACTGGTTCTTCCTAAGTCATTCCCTGTCATTCACTGCAATGTATAGGGCTTTAGTATAGTGGTTCGTCAGCAGACAGATAGGCGTGGAAAGGGTTCCCTGAAGGAAAGAAGCAAGACAGTTCCTGAAAGAGAGTGAGAAAGTTGAAAGGAGGCCATGGCTGGACATCCATCATGTAGTGTCATGGAAACATGTAGTAGATTAGAGTTATGGAGAGAAAAACAAATTGTGCAAGAGACCTATTGTAGTCCTTGGTACCCAGCCATCACGTGCTTGGTGCCAAAGCTCTCTGCAGGAGTAGGGATGGGGCTATTGGGGATCAGTGGGCCATGCAGTAATTTCAACCAAGGATTAGTTTATCTGTGCGTCATACAAAAGGCGGGATGTTTTTGATCAGGGGAGCGGCAGAGTGTTGTGCCTATGGTATGAAAAGCAAAAGGAGTTCTGGCTTTTCGAGGCATAATTTAAATTCAGTTTTGCACCATGAAGTCCTGATACAATTTTTGTTTGTTGTAAAAATGTGCATCCCAACTCTCTGCCCCTACAGGCTTCCGAGGCAGTTCATGACCTAATTAAAATAATTCATATTTTCATTTTGCAAAGGATGTGAAATGCCAGGGACATGTAATCACTCAAATGTTGCCAAAACAGTGCTCTCTACTATGCCACCCTGCTTACTTCCAAAGGTGGAGGCACATGTAATAGATCCTCAGTGGAAGATCTTAATGTGTGTGCATGACCCTATGTTAGCAGGAAGACCTTCAGCTAATCTTTTCCCCGGCTTTTTTAGGGCTTTAATGTTAAAAGGCAGAATTTCTGAACTGTATATGATAACTCATACCAAGTCCTTAAAGCACTGGCAATGTATGATGAGGTCTTCAAGCCCCATTTAGTAATCTGGTGCCATATTATGTACCAGATGAAGCTTCTGACGACTCCTAAGAGACTGTTTCATGTGTAACAGATTTTAATCACCCTGGGGATTGCCAGGTCACAATAGCTTTGGCAAGGTGTGTTTATTCAGGAAGGGCCAAAGTTGTGACCAACCTAAGCTTTCAAGCTCCATTCTTTGGACACAGTAGAATAGAAGTGGAGATCTGAGTCCTTTTTTCCTAGTCAGAAGATGGGAGGGATGTTATAAAGAATGCTTGTAAAGAATGTGAAGGTACAATGTATATTGTAATCAGTTTGATTAGAGCAGAGGAGAAATGCTTGGGGCAGGAGTGTAGCCAGGAATTTCTGGGTGGTGGGGCAGGGGCCAGGGGAGCAGCGGTGGGCTGCCTTGACCACTCACCTCCACCCAGGGCAGCGGCCACAAGGGAGCGTGTGCAGCTGGCCAGTGGGGAGGCACCTCTCCTCCCTCGCTGCCTCTGGCCCGCTACCTGCCCTTTGGACGTGTGCCTCCAGCCGCACACCTCTCCTCCCTCCTCCAGATGTGCTCTTCTCTTCCCTCACTGCCTCCAGCCTACCAGCTGCCCTTTGGACAGCGTGCCCAGCCCTGCAGACAGCCATTCCTGGCACAGGGGATGGGTGGGGCAGGTGGCAGGGTCTGTGAGGCACTGGAGTGTGTGGTGGTGTGTGGCTAACAAGTGAAGGCCCCAAAATGCCCTATCATAGCTACATGCCTGCTTGGGGGTGGAAAATTAGCATCTGTAGTGAGATAAAAATCCTGTATCCCTGTTAAGCTGGGGCGGGGGTCCCATTGTTCTGAATTTGTGAATTAACTTGGGTTCAGCAATCTTGTGCTGTAATTTGCCTTTGTAATGTCTTTGTTTGAGGACTGCCACTCTTGGGTCAGCAGTGGAATAACCTGGAAAATTAAAGTGTTCTCCCACTGGTTTTTGAGTGTTGTGGTTTTTAATGTTGGGTATATGTCCATTTTGGGGGGGCTGCGGTAGCTCAGAGGTTAAGACACTGTCAGAATGTTTGTACTTCGGCAGTTCGAGACCTGAGTGCCATGTGATGGAGTGAGCTTCCGTCTCTGGCCCCAGCTCCTGCCAACCTAGCAGTTCGAAAGCAAGAAATTGCAAGTGGATAAATAGGTACTGCTTCAGTGGGAAGGTAACAGTGTTCCGTGCGCCTCAGCATTTAGTCATGCTGGCCACGTGACCATGGAAACATATTTGGACAGCACTGGCTCTTTGGCTTGGAAACGGAGATGAGCACCGCCCCCTAGAGTCAGATTCGATAGCTTTTGAGCAAGGGAAAACTTTACCTTTACTTTATCTTTATATGTCCATTTATTATTTTGGGTCCGACTGACCTGTTTGTCCAATGTAGAGAGTAGAAGGGCATTGATGACATTTGATGGCATGTATAGTGTTGGAACCTGAACAAGTGAATGAACCTGAGATGGTGTGGCAGGTGGTGTTAGGTCCAGTTATTGCGTTGTCACAGTGGATATGGGGACAGAGCTGGCACCTTGGGTTTCTTGCGGGCCCTGGTCCCGGAGTTCATGTCCATGACTGGAACAATATTGCTGTGGGTGAAAAGTTGCATAAGGTTAGGAGGCTGTCACTTGCTCATTTGCCAACATTATATATGCCATCAAAAGTCAGCAATGCTCTTCTGCTCTCTACACTGGAAAAACAGGTCAGTCCCTCCGTAAAAGAATAAATGGACATAAATCCAAACACCTTTTCCGAGCGTTAGAAAATAAATAGCGCTACGTGCTGCTTGCATGTTGATGGCAAAGCGCATTTATCAACCAAAAGAGCCACATGACTACAGTGTGCCCTGTGTAATACCCTGTTGTGTACTCTGCAGTAGGCCCCAGTCAGGTTTCCTCAAGTGGTACCAGACTAGCCAGGCTTGGGGAATGGGGGCTGGTCACACAAAGCTTTTGCCTGGTCGACCGGTTGATCCAGCAAGGCCGTGTTCCCAGGCCTCAGCTTAAGTAGGCTGGGAGGTAATCAGGCGCAGCTGCACTGTTGGAGATTGCATTGGGCATTGGCCCCAGGTTCCTACAAGGAAGAACTGTCCTCGGCACTCTGCTCTAGACCTACAGGGAGGCTGTGTGGACCCAGTCTGGTGCTTCTCCCAGTTTGTGCCACCTCAGCCCAGGCTTTCCTCCACCACCATTCCTGCAGGGTGGGAAAGGGTCCTCCTGAGGGGCTGCAGGCCTGAGTTTGAGTTGTACCTGGGGAAGGCCTGGCGCCTAACTCGGGGACAGGCTGTGGCAGGGTGGCCTCTGGAGCCACTGGTACTTTCTCGGCAGGCACCTCTACTGTGCTGGTCCCTCAGCCACCAACCCAGGCTCCTCCCCTGAGGACTCTGAGTCAGATTTACTAAGCCATTCTGGGAGGGTCATGATACACCCCTCCAAACATACACATACAATAATCTAGATATAACTTCATATTAAGCGTATAACTGCAACCTTTTAAATGATCAGAGTACTTCTAAGCAGGGAGGGTTTTCTCTCCCCACCACTGCTGAACCTCAGCCAGTCCTTGTGGATCTGGAATGTGGGAGAGGAGGCACAGCGTGAGGCACAGAAGCTCAGGCAAGAGAGTGGAGTGAGAATGCCAAGGTGCCTGAAGAAGAGAAAGCTGGGTGTGGAGAAACGGAATACATTCATTACCACCTGCTGTGGCTGGCTTTTTTCTGGGTGGCTGCTGTGGAGGTGGCTTT